GAACTGACTCCACAAGAGCCCGGCATAATGGGAGGCCCGGAGTAACTCCAAACNCTTCCTCCACACAGAAACGCACAAAGGCGGCAAAATGCGACGCATACGACTGCCAGGTCTTGGCACCAACAAGAGACATGAGAACCTGAGCAATCTGCAAAAGACGCGCAGAGTGATCCAGACTAGGAGCCGCGAGCTGCAGCTGCGCCACCAACAACTTAGTAATGAGGGGGGGGCCGCAACCGACTGAAGATCCAAAGAGTAGCGGGGAAGCGCCACACTATCCGCCCGAGTGCTACACGATTGCGCCCAAGCTAAAACTGCACCCGTACTGCTACGACCTGCCAAGACGGGGGGGGAGGAAAGTGCTCGACCCGCCCTCGCCCGGTGCAAACATCCCCGTATTCGACGGCAGGAACACCAGGAGTCCGCGGTGCTGCTGGCGCCTCGGGCGCCGCTGGGGCCAACGACATCTGCCGCTACCGTGGACAGCCTGGGCACTATGTCCGTGAACGCCCCGTTAAGCTAGCAGACGAGTTCGTCGGTCTCTACCGCAGCAATGCGTTCGAGCAGCCATGCAGTGCCGGCGCCGGCAGCAGTGGCAGCGGCAACCACCATGGTGACGGCGGCGGCGGAGGCACCGGCAGCGGCAATGTCAGTAACAGCGGGGGTGACAGGGCACGTGAACGCGGCCATGTTGGACGCGGCAACGGCCGCCGCAATGGCAGCGACACTGCAGGTGGAAGCAGTGGCGGCGGTGGTGGCGGAAGAAGCTCACGCCAGAACCGTGCCACGGTGCTGGTCGTCGATGGCAGTGGTAGCAGTTCATGTGTTGTCCAAGACTCTGGCTCACCTTACCACCTCACGGGTGACTGTTCCTTGATGCACAATTACATCCCTGTCGGCGCGCCTCAGCAGATCAAGTTGGGAAACAATCAGCTAGCCGACGTCATGGGAACAGGGCAGATGCTCCTAGGACGCACGATGGAGAATCCGTCTGGCTGCTCAATGTGCTACATGTCCCCAGCTCGGGACTCACACTCATGTCTGTCGACCTTCTCGTGACGCGCGGCTGCTCAGTCACGTTCGGCACGGACAAGACGGGCCGCCGGTTCTCACGTGTAGGCCTCCCGCACAGCAGCTTGTCTATCACCGCATGGAGTGAGTGCGGGCATTACGTCATGGATGTGGACCTGCTGGCGCCGACCAAACGCGCCGTCAGCGCGCTCGGCGCCGCGGGAGACAGAGCCGGCGGAGGTGGTGACGCTGGTGGAAGTGCCGCCGACACCCCCAGCACCCGCGATGGCAGCACAACCAGCAGTGGCACCGGCGGAGACCAGAAGAACAACAGCAGCAACGGCCAAGGGCAACTGGGCGCCACTGAGTGCTCAGTCGCCGAACTCACAGCAGCACAGCACCTGCACCGCCAGTTCGGCCACCTTGGTTAGCGGGCGCTGGAGGAGCTCATCACCAAGCAGCTGGTGCATGGACCACGGGTCATTCCAGCGGTGCTGCATCAGGCGGCCGACGGCGTCTGTGAAGCCTGCGTCACCGTGAAGACCACAGCTACAGCCCACGTCAGCCGCGGCAACCGACCTCAGCATGCACTGGAGGTCGTGCACTCTGACCTGTGCGGGCCCATGCCGACCACGGGCCGAGGTGGGGCACGTTACTTGCTAACGCTGCTGGGCGGTGCCTCCGGTTTGTCTGCCGTTCGCATGCTGGTTAGCCAAAACCAAGTGGGCAAAGCGCTGCAGGACATGGTGACGCAGCTGGAGGATCGCCACCCGAACCATGCACGGGTACGCACACTTCATAGTGATAACGGTGGTGAGTATGTCGCCGAGCAACTGGAGCAGTGCCTACACCAGCACGGCACTGCGCACACCCACTCGGTGCTGTACACCCCGGAGCAGAACGGAGCAGCGGAGCAGCTCAATCGCACGCTCCTCGACCGTGTGCGGGCTATGCCGTACGATGCCGCCCTCTCTGACAGCTATTGGCCGGAGGCTTTGCTCTACACCAACCTCCTGCGAAATGTGGCTTCCTCTCAGGGCCGGGAGGCCACGCCGTGGGCAGCTTATCATGGCGTCAACCCCGACGTCAGCCACCTGCACACCTTTGGCTGCCTGGCCTACGTCCGCATCCCAGCCAGCCAACAGGATAGGCTCTGTCCCCGCGCTAAGGCGGGAACCTACCTTGGACCGGAGCGCAACACGGCCGCCCACCGCGTCCTTGTTGATGGCAAGGTGACTGGTAGCAGCGACGTCACCTTCGATGACGAGCACCGCGCCCCGGCATCTCAACGGGCGGGCACCCCCTTCAGCACCAGCCCCACCCGTCCTGGCGGCAGCGACCCTGGCGGCGGCTCAACACAGCCTGCCACACTGCCAACTCAAGTGGATGCCCCGCCCCCAGTGAACCCAGCAGCCCCCTTCCGCCCTGACACTCGCAGTCAACAGCAACCGCTGCACCCGCCGCTGGCCCCGGTCAGCCTGGCCAACAACAGCAGCGGCGGCGGCGGGGATTTGGGTAGTCCACCGCTGCTTAACAAAGCGTCGGTTAGCACCGATCACGCTGAGTTTAACGTGCCCGACGGCAGTGCCAACGGCAGAGGCAA